ATATATCAAAACAAGGATAATTTTGTTTACAGAAGCCCGATCAGCACTTCAAACAAATGGAGCCAATTTTATTCTAGACCATTTTGATGTATTTTTTTCTATACTTATTCATGGAAACAAAGTTGAGATATCAGTTATTATACGTGGTTTCAACAGACTTCATAAAGGTAATAAATATTGCTTTTATATGTATTACACTTTTTAAATATAATATATTAATGTTAATTAATATTTTGAGAAGCTATGGAAATGTTGATAGTTGATATGGAAAGTATATTTGAGAGAGGAAGTACATTGGAAGAAGAAAATAGATTAAGATTATTAAGTATAACTAAAATGCTTGCATACTTACTTTCCTGGTTCATATGCCATATAGATGAAGAAATTTCTAAGGATGCAAATGATAAATATGTGGGCAAGGTTTGTTTCATATATATAACTTATAAAAATGTTACTTATATGAATTTTATGAGTAACATTTTCATGTTAATTATAATTTCATTTAGCGCAAAAAATCTGAAAAATCAGACATGGAAGAAGAATGGGAAAGTAGTAGAGAAAAAGCATTGGTGTATATTTATAGATTGTTACAATTACCATTACAAAAACTTTGGCAACCACCTATTGTTGAAGATTCATTTGTCACGTATGTTTTTTTAGTATGAAATGTTATAAATATTAACCATAATTTAAGAAATTATTTTAATATATATTATTAAATATGATTCTTTATATTTTAGATTATTAACTAAAGTGTGTTATAAAGTTTTAGAACAGTGTAGAGATTCAAAGCAAAAACATATAAAACAAACTATTTTTGAGGTAAGTTTTTGTATATTTTATTAAATTATTTTTGACTTCAAAATTCATTTATTTTTTTAAAAAGATTTTAGGTACTGCAATTAAGAAATATAATCATGGTATAAGCTGTGTAGTAAGAATTATTCAGGTATATTTCAACAATTATAAGCTTTGTTCTAATGTAATATTTTATTGAATATATAAATTAATATTTTAGTTGGTGAAATTACATGATGTATTAGCATCTCATATTGCAACTGGAGTCATTCATATGATTAAGAATTGTGGTTGTAATGGTTTAATAAGAGAAGTCATGAAAGAAATTGATCAATGTGAACCATCTGAAACTGATAGTCGCAATATATCGATATTTTTGGAAACCATTGCTACTTCTGAACCAAACTTTATAATTCCTATTCTTGGTGATATAATGGATTATTTAGCTAGTGAAGTATGTTCCTTTGCATTACTTTATTTACAAAAATATATGGTGCATTTATTGCATATTCAATACTGTTTTTAGCATTATACTATGAGAAATTGTACCATTAATATCATAGGAGCAATTGTACAAAAAGCCTTAACTGGAGATGATCTCACACAAGAACAAAAAGATCAACGTGATGAATGCCTTAACAGTTTGGAAGAACATATTTTAGATAATAATGCTTATGTAAGATCCAAAGTTTTACAGGTATGGCAACATTTATGTTGTGAAGGAGCTATTCCATTAGCAAGGCAAGGAAAACTTTTAGCTGCTACAGCATTACGTTTAGAAGATAAAAGCGCAAATGTACGAAAACAAGCATTGCAGTTAGTGCGGGCCTTACTTCAAGGCAATCCATTTGCAGCGAAAGTAAATAAAAGAAATTATATTTGTTCTTCTACGTCTTTTGCGCTAAGAGTGCAATTATTTATGAAATTAAATATATTTACAGTTAAATAAAATAGAAATTTCTAAGTCATTAGAAAAGGAAGAAGTCAACCTGAGAAAGTTACAAACTGAAAATGTTAATAAAAGTGCTCATGGTGACAATCAAAGATTAGAATTGTGGAATATTTTGCTTCCAGAAATAAGAAAAGCATTAAAAGAAGTTATTAATGGTGGAAATAGAAAGAATAAAAAGCAAGGTGTGTATGTGTATGTGTGTATATATTGCTTCAATGACAAGTATGTCTAAATTAAACATACATTTCTATTTTATAAATTAGGAAACGAAGGTGAAGACGAAAATATTGATCCTGATACAGCATTTGAACATGTAAGACAGTTAATGTTAAAAGAAAAAATCTTTGAGGCAGTAACATATTTGTGGAAAGTTTGTGTTAAATTGAGGCAAAATCCAGATATAGAAAATCTTTCTCCTGAAGCAAAGGAGGAATGTCTATTTTTACTTTTATTGAAAACATTTATGGAATCAGAAAACGATTCAAATAATGTAAAAAAAGATACAGATAAGAGGCAGTCAGTTGATAAAAGTAAAGAAAAAGAAGAAATAATTGCAAATTTTGTATTTAAAAATTATTTAATATATTTTATAGAATTGTTTAGAATTTGCAACCGAGTTAGAAATTGCTATACCTATGGCAGAAAAATTACTTTTTTCCACTACAGCAAGCGATGCTGTTGAAGCATGCACTTTACTTGGAACTGCTTATCAATTTGGTGTATCTGGAGCTGCAGCCGCTATGCGTGATGCTTTATTTCAAGTATTTCATCGTGACCAATCAGTACGCAACAATATAGCGGTTGTATATAAAGATCTCTATTTAAATAAAGATGAAAATCAAAAATCAGAACGACAGAAAGCTCTTACGTGTGTTAAAGCATTGATTGAATTATTGAAAGGACTTCAATCAGGCCAAAGTCAAGCTTTAACTCAGCTTATTTTAACGTGGTATAATAACAATGACATAGATAATGAAGTATTACAGGTAATATAATATATAGTTTTTATTTTCGCGCTTTACGAAAGTTATATTTTTAATTTATTTAACAGGTCTTGTGGGAAAAATTTTCAATGAAATCATCTGACACAGATCCATTAGATAGTAGGACTGCTTTAATGTTAATAACAATGATAGCACAAGCTCAGAGTAGTATTTTAACTGGAAATTTAGAAGTACTAATAAAAGTAGGATTAGGATCACGAGCAAAGACTGATCTTCTACTAGCCAGAGATACGTGTAGAGCATTGTTAGCTATAAAACACAAAAATGATGATATTGAAAAGCCACCTGTTAGGTACGCTAAATATAAGGATTAAATTGTTGTTTAATTATGTTTAATTGTATTATATAGATAATTATTACAATTGCTAGGTACTCCAACGACCACGAAATGTTTAAACAAATTCTTACAATATTAATAGAAAATTTTACTAATACCGAAGAAGATGGATATGTTTCGTTTGCGACTGATGCTATTAATTCTATTTACCATGTATGCTATATAATTATAGCGACGATTATTTATAAACATGTAGTAAGAAGTTTTTTTTAAAAACATAAAAATATTTTTTCAATTTTAGTTGGCAAATCAGCCCGATCATTTAATGAAACAATTATTATTAGAAGCCTACGCTCGGGGACAATTTAATAATGATTCATCTCAACATACTGTTTCATTTTTTTTGTTATCTAAGTTCTTGTACTTAATTGGACATATTGCAATTAAGGAAATGGTGCATTTAGACACATCAGTCTATAAGGAATTAAAGAGAAGAGATATTATAAGAAAATTAAAAAAAGAAAAAAATTCAGATAAAAATGAAAAAGATTCTCGTAGATCTCGAAGTTCGAACATAGTAGGATCCACTCCAAATAGTGCGAGACAAATACTTCGCAATAAAGAGGTATGTAACGAGATAAATATATTTATTTAGTGTTCGTTAATCTTCAATTTTCATGCTTAGACGAGTATGATTGTGGAAGATAATGGGGAGGAAGCTGTAGAAGGAGCGGCAGATGATGCGGATGCAGAATTTATAAATGATACTCTTGAAAATCATGTTGTAACTGGTGATGGTCTCTTAGTAAGATTTGTGTATGTCCATAAGTTTAATATTTCTATATCTTGTATTATATCAATGTCATTCGTCTATATAAATGTCTGTCTAATTTATCCATTACAGCCCATTAGTATTAGATGTATGTCAATATCATGACAAATATAATAATGAAGATATACAAGCTGCTGGAGCTCTTGCTCTCAGTAAAATGATGACGGTGAGTTCCAGTTTTTGTGAGGAATCTTTACAACTTTTAATTACAATACTAGAACGTTCACCATATCCTGGTATTCGAGCTAATGTTCTTATTGGAATAAGTGACCTCACATCTAGGTTTCCTAATCAAATTGAACCATGGATGAAACATATATATGGCAGGTAATTAAAAGTACAACTTAGTCAATTTCAATAAAATCATCACAATAAACTTAAAATACGACTAACTTTCAGACTTCGAGATGAAGATACAAATGTAAGAAGTACTTGCGTTCGAGTTTTATCAAGTCTTATAATGAGAGAAATGGTGCGTGTACGAGGTCAAATATCAGAACTAGCTCTCTGTATAGTTGACAAAAGTACACAAATTCGGCAAGATACAAAACAATTCTTTAAAGCACTTTCACAAAAAGGCAATGCTTTATATAATCTGATGCCTGATATATTATCTCGACTAACCGATCCCGATTTAGATATAAGTGAATTTGATTTTCAGGAAATTCTGAAGTATGTGTATTAGTAGAATAAATATATAAAAATATGGTAATTGAATCTAATTAACTTGTTAAAATTATTTATAGATATATCATGGATTTATTGCAAAAGGAGAAGCAAGTTGATGCCATCATTGATAAGATTTGTGCTAGATTTAAACTGGCTACTACAGAAAGGCAATGGCGTGATTTTGCATATTGGTATACGTAGCCTCATCGAAAGCTTACCGCAACTAAAGGATAAAATTCATCATAAACAAGTTTTAAGGGCTTTACAATCTGTCATAGAACAAACGAAGAAAAAACCAAATACACAAGCGGCTTGTATAGAATTAGAAGAAAAAATAGAAGAACTGCTTAAAGGAACAGAAAATTTAGAACAAAGTGATACTGAAGTAATGCCACCACCACCAGTACCAAAATCGAAAAAACACGCCAAACGTAGAAAACATAGAAGTAGTAGTGAGGAAGAAGATGATATCGATAGTGATTCTGATATAGCACCTGTAAAAAGTACATTTTTTTTTGTACGCAAAGCTATTTGCGTTGTTTTGATTCCATATTTACATTTTTTTTTTTTTATTGTTTTAGCAAAAAGTTCTAAAGTAAAGTCACGCGAAGGCAAATCAAGTTCTAGTTCGGATTCAGATACTGATGACATATCAATGAAAACTGTTAGAAGACAATGTACGTACTTTCATTTTTATAAGTGAATAATTATTCGTTTTATCTAATTATTATTGTTTTTGTACTAGCTAAGATAAATACACCCACATCAGCAGTAAAACCAAGTCGAAGGAAACACATGGATTCAGTTACAGCCACTCCATCACCATTATCAAAAAGAAATAAACAAGTTGCAACGCCAATGCGTACTGAACGAAGATCTGTACGTTTATCTCAATCTCGAACAAAACGTTAAAATGTCTAGATGCAATACTATAGTTAATATACATATTCATACTTTTTACTACACTAGATTAAGATCAGGAAATAAAATAAGAATGTTTTATCATTGCAAAATATAAAAATGACTTGTATAATTGATTTATTTTTTCATAATAATGCCAAATGATGAAACCAGTAAAACTTAATTTTATTCATCAAAAACTTGTCAATAAATTATTTTTTCTTTAATTGTTGATCTCCATTTTTTTTATAAAGTATTATTACAAGAACAGAACAATAAGTGATCTTATAAAACGTATGTTACTATAGAAATATTTATTCCAATGAAAATTATGAATACGATTTAATAGTCCACATTAATATAAACGCGCGGAATGGTTTTCCTTCCAGGAAAAGAGTAGATGATGATGTCCAGTAGTGCCAGGTGATATACAAGAAAGATATTTGCATCTCTTTTAACGTAGAACGAATTAAATGGACTTACTGTGCCTATCATAACTAAAGGACTTGTTGACGACTGAAACCGCGGAACGAAAACTCCACTGTACGGACAGAGGCAAATAACTTTTAGAAATCAAACGTTGTGTAGTTGATTTCGATCTTATATCTATCATTGTGCATACATTATAAAGATACATCTTTAAATGAATAATTTAAACAATTCGTATTACGATATCATTGTTTATATAAACTGAGGGACAGCATAAGCACGCAGTTCCACAGGTCCATATCTGGTACTGACACGGGCGATGTGTGAAAACTTAGGGTCTGTACGAGATACACTCAACTTTTTATGTTTTAGGTTCATATATTATGTAACTTGTAGCTACATGAATTTTCAAATAATAAGTAGAACACTGTATTTTATTATGCATTTGTGTACAATAGATACACTGTATGATACTGTACGTCGTGAGAAAGACTAGCGTAAAAATCTTGTATGTTAACACAAGTTTGACACATGTATTACTAATATTAGGAAGAAATTTATAAAATTAGTGTTCGTTATACCAAATCACGACTAACACTACGTTTAAACGTCATTGAACGTACTTCTGTTCCAGGTTTTCCTGATTTACAAAGAGTAGAAGTATTAGGGTTTGGAGTAGGACTTTGCGAAAGAGATGCTCGCTCGTCATTAATATTAGATTTTTCTCGTTCCAATCTTTGTTTGCTAAATTTTCCCATTCCAGGGCGATAAATTTCCATGGCAGGACGATCCTGTTATTTTATAATAAAATATGTTTTTAAGAAATTGAGTAGTATATTTTTAATATGTTAAGAAGTTTAATTGCGGAATTCTAAAAGCTAAATGTTTTAGTAAAAGTAAGTGCATACCTTGTTTCTAATTCTACGTTCTAGTCGTGGGTCTTTTTTATCTTTTTCCTTATCTTCACTTTCAGTCTTTTGTAGGTTATTTTGATCTCCACCATCTAAAGATTTGTGTCGTCTTAAACAATTTCCATCCCCTGTACCACCTTCTCCCCCACTTTCAAGTGAACTACGCCTCTTTGTGATTTTTGAATCCTTCTTTTCTTCAGATTCATTATCCTCATTACCTTCTTTATTAATATTTTCATTGGATTTTGATTTTTCAGTATCTTTATTATTTTCAATAACTGTTAATACAGCCTCTGTAAATAGTAACATATTAATATTTTTTTTAATATGTTAGAGATCTATTCATATTTAATTATAACAATACAGTCCATACCTGATCTTTTTTGTTCCTTCATCTCAGGATCTTGTACAGAATCCTCTATTAAAACCTTTCTTTCATTAATTTCCTGTTTTTCCTTTCCTTTATTGATTTCAACATCATTTTTATCACTCATAGGTTCTTCTCTTTCCTTAACATTCTCATACAAATCAACTTGATATTCCTTTTTTTGGAATTCTTCATCTTCATTTCTTGATTTTGCAGTATTTTCAGAATCAACAGTAAGTTCTATAATTTGCTTTTTGGTTTCTGCAAGTCTTTTTTTTTCTTGTCTCATTTTTTCATAACTTTTACCTCGTTTCTCTTCAATCTTTCGTTCCCTAGAATCTTTAACATCTTCCTTAAAATCATATTTTCTATCATCTCTCATACCATCTCTTTCATCACGCCTTCCATATATTTTCTTATCCTCATGTCGTCTTTGATGTTTTATATCTCTGTCCTTGTTCGCATCTTCAATTCTATCCCTGTATCCTTTTGTTATTGACTTAGAATCTCGATCACGCGGTACCTTTTCACGTAATTTATCTTCTTTTTTAATACGATTTTTTATGTCTTTGGGCGAAAGTTTATCCTTTTCCTCCCTATTTTCCTTATTATCTTTACACATTTCTTTATCAAGATCTGGATTTTTCAATACCTATAACAAAATTAAATATTTATTTTAAATAAT